AAAATAATTATATAATCACGTTGTCTAGGGTTTTCTGTCAGAACATGATATCTACATTTTTGCCATATCGAGAAAAAGACCATCGAAATTTTTTTACGTTTGTTTTACTAAATCGTTGACCAATGAAAATTTAGTGAAGATAGTTTAAAAAGTTAGCCTTTTTATATTTTTTATATTGCCATTAAGTATTACATAATATTACAATTTTAACATACTTATCTATTTCAGATATACACTTTTTCTTATTGCAATTAGTATCAATTAGAAGTGAATAAGTTGACAATTATCTCGTTTTAAATCTGCGTTTTACTTATGTATATGAAAATAACCAACATGAACATTTAAATATGGAATGCAAAGATTTTTCTTGCTTTAGAAAGCACTCAAAATTTTAAGTATAATACTGTATATATACTGTATGCACTATAATTTTAAGTATAATTCATAACTTTTTTTTTTAAAAATGTAGATATCATGTTCTGATAGAAAACCCTAGATATATGTCCGCAAAATGAGAAGATAATTATAAACATGATTTTATAAACACCTCGTATAACCGAAACATGTTTTGAAACAAAATACAAACTTTGATAATAAAACAAGATAAAACTAGTATAAATCTTTAGAAAAGTTTTAGTTTAACGAAATAAAAATAGATTTTAAATAAATATTTCATAGGTACGCTTTTTTGAATTAGAATAGAAATCAATGCTAAATAGAAAATAGAAAATGGAAAAGGAATAAAGATTGGTTGTGAAATATGAGAATTAAATCAATGCTATGATAGCCTGAAAGTTATATCGCGTTTTGAATTCTATATTTTGGTGTAACTCAAAAAATTGCCCTAAACATTTTCAGTCACATAGTCATCTGATTTATGTCACATAGTACATCTGATGAAATATACAAAGGTACATTAATTCATGTCATCGATGTGGCACTTCCACACTTCCATGTCATTTTAAGAGTTAAGTGATTTTGAAAAAAATATTACTAATGCTATATTTGAGGAGAAAGAAATTTAAATCATTTGGCGGGTTGGCCCATCCCTGCCAAATAAATAAGATGGAAAATTATGTAAGAAGTTAGTAAAAATGTTTCGAAGAAATTTATGATGAAAAATTCATTTTTTGACTGGTACAATTCTGTAAGTAAGAAATTTCTTTGATTTTATTGACTCGAAACTATAAATATTCTTTAGTAATGTACTAAACTTTAAGCTTTTAGTGCATTTGTGAAAGATAAGATTGTAGAAAATATTTGGATTATCTTATTTATATACGTATACAGTGCCTATTGGGGAATGTATAGTATGTGCATACACAGGTGTACAAACTTTAAATCAGGTAGTCTAAAGAATTTGGTATGAAATAACAATAAATTTAAATTCAAAGTTGGTTCAAATGTAATTATTCTGTAAAAAATATTTAGTTTCAAGATTGATTTCTAAAGAAATATGAACGATTAGTAATAAGGCAAGCTTGTGAAAGCTGAATGGCGGCTACACGGAGAACGAAGAGAAAAGAACTTTTCTCCTCCTAGAGACCAATTTTTAAACAATTCGTCCGTTTTTCATGCCCGTGGGTTCGGATTACAGAACACTTAAAGTATAGAATATAGAATATGGATGAGATTTCACCAGTACTTCTGAAACGGGGACTGGAATAAAAAACGGGGGCTGGAATAAAAATGGGGGCTTAATTAAGTGGTTTTAGTTAATATAAATAGTTAGTAAATTATTTATTTAATTTGAATAAAATTGGTGTTCAGTCACGCGTTTACTTTTAGAACTCAATTCTCTTTGAAATGCACATGTATTTAACAAAAGTAATAAACCAAGAAATTTCATATTACAGGTTTAATAAATACTTTAAAAATTTATACTATTTTTTTAAAAAGGTCATTTTATTCATTTATTTTATTTTAATAATTTTATCCTTTTATTTACATTTTCTTATAAATTTCAATAACCGTGACACAATCTCGTATATATTTTGCATAAATGTGTAGAATTTTGATTTCTGTTCGCGTTTTCAAATTTTACTTTCAAATCAAAGTTTTTTTAAAAAAAAATTAGCATAAAATATTGGATTATTCATTTAAATTTCTAAGAATTATTTTCTCAACCATTTCATATAATTCTTTATAGTTTTTAATACAGAATGATTCTTTGTTTTCTTATTTTTTAATGTAGGTTTTCACGGGGTGAAGTTCGAAGAACTATGTGAGTAGTATAGTAAGAATACCTTCTTACTGTCTTATACTGTAGAATAACCAATTTTAATAAATTTATTTTCAAAAATGGTTAAATAAAATAAAAAATTCTATTTCAAAGCAAATAAATAATTTTTGTGTGAATTAACAGAAATGAGAATTTTATGAAAATTCTTTTGAACTCAAGTTCACTTAAAGTCACATTAAGAATTTCTTTTAGATTATTTTTTAATAGGAATCTGAAGACAAAAAAAAAGAATTACTTTAATTGCGAAGTGAAATTATTTTACAGTTTCTGAAAATTTCATGAGTTTTGATTTAATACAGGTGTAGTATGAAAGAAATTATCCAAACCGGTCATTGAATTTTTATTAAAAACTAAAGGTTTTCTTTCTTAAATTTAAACCTCTTAAACAATTTTAATAATACAAAACTATAATCGTTTAATAAATTTCACTGAATTTATGAAATTTAGATTTGAGTTTGGAAATAGAGTTTGGATTTAAAAATTTTATTATTTTTAAGAAAATGAGTTTATACGAAATTTTTTCCAAAATAAATTTCTGATCTCAAATTTGAATAACGCAAACTAAAATAAAATATTTACATATAAGGTAATTTGTTTATTAAAATTGTCATCAATAGTGAAATAATTATAAGATTCGAGTGTGGGTTTAAATTAGTAATATTCTTAATTTTTAAAAGTCTTTGATTTTTTATAAGTAAATAACCATTTATGTAGAAATTAGTTCTGAAAAGAATGGTCATTTTTAAGAAAATTTAAATTTCATTGTGAAAAAGCAAAAATTTAAACAAATTCAAAATATAAGAAGATTTAAATAATATTTTTCGATTGAATTTTCTAATTTTAAATTTTCTAAATCTAAATATAAATTAATGGCGATTTTCGTATATGATTTCGTATATAAGTAAATATGCCGGCGTAATATAGTGCTTAAAATTTTTTACAAGATTAAATTCGTATTAAACCTTACGTTTTTTATTACTATTGAATTTTAAATCCTCTTCATTTCCTCATATATTCAACATTGCATACAATTTCGAATATTTTACATATTTACACAATTTCTATTCTTTATATTAAAGCGAGTTCACCAGAATTTCAAATATATACGTATATTCAGATATAAGTTACATATTAACATAAATGTATTATAAATGTTCTTAAGAATTAAATTTTCATGTAAGTAATATAAAACCATAAACATTGTAATTCTTTATTGTCCAGACATAAGCTGAAATTTCCGCTTCCGAAATTTGATAATAATTTAAAATTTTTTATATATATATGCATTTTAGACCATATATTTAAATAAGGCTACTAACATTCATTCTTAGTGTAAAATGTGTTTTAGGAAATGGTAAAAATCATGCTGTTGAATAGCATGTAAAGGCTAAGGTTTTGTATATTCCACTTGTATTATATAAGCCTTCATAGTTTAATTAGCAAGAATATAGAAAATAGATTTATATATGCAAAGTATAACTAGACATAACATAAATCTCCAATTTCCAATTTGCAATATTGTAAAGTATTCTTTTTTATATTGTAAAATACACATTTTTAAACATACAGGAAGAAATTTAAGAGTACCAATCATATACTGTTTTACTTTTATAAATTTGCTTTTTCAAAGTAAAATTCTTTATTTTAATGAGTTTTAACAATAATTACGTATTATGCACTTTCCATTTGAATTTTTCATAAGTAATTTTTTTAAATTCAAAATTTCATTCAATTATTTTTGCAAATTATTTTTTAATAAAACAGTTCTATGCGAATATTTTATTTAATGGAGTTTTTTGTAGTAAGTATTTGAAATCAATTCTTCGATAAAAAATGCAAAAATCTCTAGTAGGAAGTAATCTTTTCTTTTATTTTTAAAATAAATTCGTAATTTAATTAGACTCCCTAATTGAAACACTATTAAATGCTTATAATTTTTAGTATTAATTAATACCTTTAAGGGGGTAATCCATCAAATCTATATTGACATATAATGTAATGGCCGACACGTATACATTTACTTAATACATAACGTACACGTATTTATATATGTACATATTACTATGTATTTATTATTCTACATGACTTCGTTTAAATAAAAAATTAATGCTTAAAAAAAGTAATAAAGAATCCTTAGAGTTTATCACTTGTTGTTCGTATTTTAATACCGTATGTACACATATTGATTTTCCTTTTACTTTAAGTATATTTAAATAGTTAATTCAACAGGTAAGTCTCTCTTTAGTTAAGTCTAACATTCTCTTTTTATACATAATTTTCATAATTTATAAATTTATATAATTAATAAAATTTTGAAAATATTCTTGAATTTAAAGAGAATTTTTTTTTTTAAAAATAACAATAACACCGCAGTCGATTGTTCGTTTTAAAAGTGACCATAAGGTTCACTTTACAAATATTCAAAATGAAATATTTTACTGCTTGGGTTTAAATTATAACTAAAAATTGGTTTAACTGATTGTGTGCTTTTCAAGTATATTAACTTTTTGTCAAATTACGTAAAATTCAGTTCACACTATAAAAACTATTTATTTTATTTAAAGCGGCTTTGTCAATATAAGAGTCTTGGAATTGCAACCTGATTTAATTCACATTCATAACAAACCATTCAAGCAGTGTTTGATAGGGTTGAATTTTCATTAAATAAATTTAATAAATTTTTGGAAAATATTGTATGTATTTAATTTTAAAGACCTAATTTATTTTAATTTTAAAAGTACAAAAAATATTTACAAACCTTATTATAAATACAATAATAACGAATCCAACAATTATTCCAATTACAATTAAAATCCATTCAGCTGGTGCACTTAATACGGCTTTATCGTTATTATCATTTTCATTTAAACTACCATTTATACCATTATTATTATTATCTTCTCCACCCATTGTAATTATCGGTGATGTATCAGTTGTTTCATTACTAAAATTTACAATGAATTGTTCTATACCGTCACTCATTTTCACTTTTTCTTTTATTTTTTTTTTATATCTGTTTTCTTTTCGCTTTAAATTTCTAAACCAACAAATATTTTATTAAATTACACTGATTTCTACTATATTATTTTATTAAATTGTTATTTTTACCATTTATGAAATTATCGACATATAAGCTAAGTGAAATTTTTTTTTAATTTAAAAGAAAAATAAAGTTTTGATTTACTCAATTACTTCTTGATTTATAGTTGGAAATGTAAGGTGCCTTTAAATCGATAGATATAATAAGAAAAACCAAAAAAACAAAAAAAATTAAAACAAACACTAAAAAAAAAATTGAAATATGGAAACTAACAATTCCCCATATATTCAGTTAATATTAAAGTAATAACAAGAAAAAAAGGAAAAACTATGAAAATTCAACGTGTATCATTTATTGCCTATATGTATGTATGTATACACTCATATACGGATTTCAATGTGTGTATATGTGCTTGGTATAAAGCGTAAAATTATAGATTTCTTTTTAAACCACAAAATTTTGTAAAGTTAACAAAATAAAAACGTAATAACAGAAAATCGTACAATGTACAAATATTTTCTTTTTTATTACAAAAGAACAAAAAAATTAAATCAAAAACCAAAAAAAAACAAAAAAATTATGTCTGCCTTTAAGCCACGGTTGAAATAATAATAATCAACCGTCAAGTTCAATGTGTACTTTAATACTGACTGACTTCTTAACAGAAATTTACTATACAACTAACACTAAGCTGCTTTAACTAACAAACGAATTATGAGTAATGAAATTATTGCAAATAAAATAATAACACAAAAGAAAAAAGAAAAACAAAAGTAGAAAAATGCTATGTATATAAAAAACATAAAAACAAACAAAAACAACAAATATAAGAAAAAAAAAATGTTATGTTGTTTGAGATCGCATCACGGTTCTCATCCGTATACCTACATAACTATAAATAATACAAAAAAAAATTATGTTAACATTATGCATGCATACTTCGTACCAGGGCTGTCGTTTTAAAATTTCAAAGAGTTACCAAACGGAGTTTCCAAGCTGTATTCATGTAATTTATTGCGGGCTTTCTTGTAATTTATTACCCAAGAGTGATTAATCTATATATTTAACATTTATGTTTATCTAAATGTTACACATCATAAGTATGTCTATCTGAAATTAATATATATGTATTTAATTTTTCATTCAGCATTTTGACGTAGAAATTTTGTCTACTGAATGAAATACTTTAAAACGTCTTTTAAAAATCCAAAAGTTTTTGTTTGTATAAGAAAGACACAGACGGATATTGATACAGGCGAGCAAATTTTAAGTTTGGTTTTTTGTGTTAAGTTTTTTATTTTTCGATCTTGGGTTGCCTCTAAATAAATACACAAAAAAGTAAACTTCACGTAATTTATGAATTTAACAATATGCTTGAATTTAATATTTATTATTAGACTGGAGCTTTTCGTATCCATAATTTACAAATTGTCGCATTTATAAACAAATGACTGCCCTGTTCTCTACATACATAATTTAAAAACATACATGTATTATACTGTTATTGTTATACATGTATATTGTTATACCGTAAAAACTCATCTTGAAATCTTGAATCTTTCTATTTTTCAACGTTATCATCGTATATATAGCTAAAACACGTTTGGTAATTATTCAATAAATATATAGGTGTACATATTTATTATAAGTAATATAGGTGATACTTTATAATATTCATGTGAATATTTGTATGAAAGTATACATATATGGAACACTAATAGTTTACATGTATTATGTGGAATAGTGTTGTCAATTAATTATAAAAAAAATGAGAACTCTATTCCATATTTTGTGAATATCAAAACAAAAACTACAAAATTTATAATAAACTTGTTAAATTAAATTTTTATTTGAAAAACTGCTTACATTATTATAATGGGGGGATATTAGAATAATCGATTTTTAGGAAAATGGTTAGAAAAATTACATATTTAGAGCATAGCTCTATATTTTGTTAATTAGAAATGAATAAATTTTTTTATAAATTTTAAGATTTCTTTATTTTCTTTTCACATTTTACCTCATGTGAAGTTTAAACGAGATTTAAAATCAATAATTTCTGCTTAATTACTGAATCGTTTATGAAAAACTGTTAACTCCGAAATTCAAAATGACACCACTACAATAATTTATTTTGTAAAAAAGAACATTAAACTTAAATAAATTTAACTTAATTTGTTAAAAGCTATAAAATTTTTAGATTTTTAAAAATTTTTAAAGGCAAGACATTCAACTTAACAATGACCATTTAATCTCAATGCATAAATATTTTTAAACAAGTTAAAAATTATTAAAAAATTTCTTATTATAAAATGAAATAAATTTTGTACTATAAAATTTTGGATCAAACACACAACAAAATAATAAAATTGATCCACAATTATTGAAGCAAGGTGATAACACTAACATATAGGAGTGTACAGTGAGAATGATGATGACGTAGCATGTATAAAAAAAATCTTTTTGTATTTTAATTTGGAGAAGGGGGATCATTTCATTTTACGATGCTCCCTGTAAAGTGCATTTCATACACACATGAGAATTTAAATAACATGGTTTACAAGTTTGAAAACAATTAAAGAAAAAATGTTATTTAAAAACTTGATTTTTTTTTTAGTTTTCTTGATTAAATTATGATTTTCTTTTGATTTTTATAAAATAAAGAAAAAAAGAAATTTAGTTTAGGTATAAGGTAATGAAAATGCGGCATAATATAAATTGAATTTTAAATTGTTATATGCACTCGATATACAAGGCGGTTTGGAAAATCATTTTGAAAAAGGAATTTGTATTATTAGAATTCCATGTTATTATTAAATATTTTCATTATTTATAGGAAGATTGAATATTTTTAAGAAAACGGTCTTAATATTTACAATATCTGTCTTATATCCGAAAGGCTCATGGGCTAGTAACTAGTATCGATTCCTCGCATAACAAAAAAATTTATTTCAATTTTTAAAACATTTCTATGATTAAAAATAGGTCATTATATTTTGAGCTAATTGAGTGTAAAGTCAGAAATTTCTGAATAATATAGCTACTTTATTTTCAAGATTTTATATCAAAAACGCCGGATGATATGCAATGCTTTTGAAATATACTTAACAGTAGTTTTACATAATAACAGCCTAATTGTTTTACCCACTTTTTATTCACTTTAAAATCCGAATTCTCTGTTTTTCTAATAAATATTTGATTTTTTCAATAAGATTACTCAATTTTTCAACTAGATTTTCGCATTTTTTTTTCTCAAATTGTCGACTGAACGTCTGACTTTTAAAAGAAACGAGATACGCAATATCGAATAATTCTTCTCATTCAAAAATTACATTATTATAATTTATAATAGCTACTCACTTTCTTCTCATTCAAAAATTACATTATTATAATTTATAATAGCTACTCACTTTCTTCTCACTCAAATAGCGAGTAAAATAGCGAGATAGACGATCAGGATCTAAATGCTAAGCCATCATTTTTAGATAAGAAAATTTAGTTACATTATGCACTATGTCAAAAATGCCTGATCGTATGCAATATTTTTAAAATATATTGTTAGAAAATTCGTACAGGATAGAACAACAATATAGACTTTCTGCTTACTAATTATTACTGTAGGAGATAATTAACACTTAAATTATTTAAAGAGCATTTGAAAACAATTGGCAATATTTTATAAAATATGCAATACGTTCAATTGCATATCCAATTATCCTTTGGTAAAATCCCAACATTATAAACACAAATTTGTATTGAAATTTTAAGAGCATGATTTTAAATTACTCTGTAACTTTAAAATTACAAACATTAATTTACAAGTTATTAAAACACATGGTTGTCTGACAAGTTTTTTTTTATTTACTACACTCATCTTAGCCTTTTATTATGTATGTAAATATGCATGTTACAAGAATACATACACATAAATAAATATGTAATGTGGCATAGTAAGTGGTATAATAAAAATTATTTGTAATGTGGTAACTGTGTACAGTGAAAATGCAACAAAAAACATTTATGAAATCAGAAATAAGAAAAGAAAAAAAAAGAATTTAAAATATACTATAAATATAAATTAAAATTAAAATGAAAGAGAAATTACAAAAACAAAAGAGGAGTTAAAAAATAAAAACTTTCTTTAAACAAAAAAAAAAAAGAGTAAATTTTTTTTTCTTAATCATGATATTTTACGATGATAATAGTTGTAACGATGAGATGATAATGATGAAGTCATGAAAAGAAATTTAATAAAAATACCGTCCAGCCCGCTAATAATAACAATAATAAAGAAAAATGAAAATTTAATCAATCAAAATAAATTCAATTATAAAATTAAAATAAAGAAAATAGAAAAATGGAAAGGAATTTAAAAAAAAAAAAATAAAAAAAAACACAGACAAAGAAAAATATTGTGAACTTTTAAATTAACACAAAATTCTTCAATTTTACCGGCATGATGAGTGAGAGTGTTAAGCATAGAAAATGGTTGCATATTTTCGAACAATTCTGTTAAAAGTAAAGACACGTATAAAATGTTTTATTTATTAAAAATTTAAATGAAATTGAGAATTAAATGAAATTTTGGGAGATGAGTAGAATTGTCATTCGGAATCCTACCTAAAAAATTAGTTTACATTCTGATTTAAAAGGATGATTTTTCGAGGCTTTCTCTATTCATCCAAATATGCTATTGCGAAAAAAATTAAAATTTCAATAAAATTTAAGTCATGTGATCTTAATCACATTATCAAATTCCAAGCAATATGTCTTATGAGGTAGATTGTAGAAAACATTTTATATTTCGGAAATTATGAAATTTCAAAAGAAATTTAATAAAAATTTTAATTAAATCCCACAGTGCTATGAATTTTGAAAAAATTTTGATATTAAAACCTTCAAAAGACACTCAGATCAGAGTCAGAAAATAATGCTGATTTCAATATTGTAATAATCGTATTAATTGAGGTTTAAGTATCGTCTTCCATTTTGTTTATGCACAAATTTTGACGGAGCATTCAATTTCATATTATTTAAAATTTATTTTGAATGCTCAGGCGTAAAGCAAAGAGAACCTCGTATAAAATCTCGAATATTTTTTTGTAAACTTTCAAACTACTGAAAATTTTATAGTTTTTCAACTATAAACCGCACATATTTGTAATTTATAAATTGTAAGAAAGCATAAATTGTATTAGAGTGTGTAAATATTAATACAAGCAGTCAAATATTAAAATTTTAAATGCAAATAGTAAAATATGCGATTTTAACAATTTAAATTTCCAATTTCGTCCCTTAATATAACCCCGATATAATATACTCTGCAAAACTTTAAAACGTTGCAGTGTTTAAGTAAAAATAATAAAGTTAAGAGGCTCTTTAAAAGTTTATTTACGATAAATTTATTTACGATAAATTTTTATTCAAATTCAAATCACACCAGATTTATTTAGAGAATGATTCTAAACTTGTATAGACCTTAGACTCTTAAATATAAAATCTAATATACTTATTTATATTTAATTATTAAAGTTTTCAAAGTTCGTGTCTTTAATACTGTCATATAAAAAATTTATTTTTGCTCTTGAAATTTTTTGTTTCAATAACAAACTTAGGTTGCCTGCTATAAAATTGAAGGTTTTCATGAA